TTTCTGTGACTGGCTTACTTTACTTAGCATAATGTCCTCAGGGTTCATCCTCATTGTAGCATGTGACAGGATTTCCTTTCTTTTTTTTTTTTTATTTTATTTTATTGATTATGCTATTACAGTTGTCCTGATTTTCCTTTTATGCCCCCCTCCACTCAACACACCCCACTCCCTCAGACAATCCCCACATCATTGTTCATGTCCATGGGTCATGTGTGTAAGCTTTTTGGCTACTCCATTTCCTAAGCTGTACCTCCCCCATGGCTATTCTGCAACCAGCTATTTGTACGTTTTTGTCGCCTCATCTCTTCACCCGTTCCCCCACAACCCCCTCCCATGTGGCAACCATCAAAACACTCTCTGTATCCATGATTCTGTCTCTGTTCTTGTTTGCTTAGTTTGTGTTTTAGATTCAATTGTTGATAGATAACGCATTTATTGTCATTTTATTCTTCATAGTTTTGATCTTCTTTTTCTTAAATAAGTCCCTTTAACATATCATATTATAATGTTTTGCTGATGATGAACTCCTTTAGCTTTTTCTTGTCTTTTTAAGAATAAATAATATTGCATTGGAAGTGTATATCACATTTCGTTCATCTATCCATCCATAAATGCACACTGGGGTTGCTTCCACCTTTTGGCCATTGTGATTATTGGTGCAATGCACATGGTGTGCAAATATCTCTTCAAGACTTTGCTTTCAATTCTTTTGGATATATACTCAAAAGTAGGATTGTTGGGTCACCTGCTAAGTTTATTTTTAATATTTTTTAGAACTACCATACTGCTTTTCACAATAACTGCACCATTTTACACTCCTACCAACAGTACAAAAAGCAATCTCTCTGCATCCTCAATGGCGCTTATTATTTCATGGGGTTTTTTTTGTTTGTTTGTTTGTTTGTTTGTTTTTATATAGTAGCCATCCTGGTGGGTATGAGATAGTATCTCACTGCAGTTTTGATTTACATGGTCCTAATGATTAGTGATGTTGAGCATCTTTTCACATGCTTTTTGGCCATTTGTATATCATCTTTGGAGAAATGTCTGTTAAAGTCCTTTGCCTACTTTTAATCAGCATATTTGCTTTGTTGTCGAGTTAGAGGTTCTTTATATATTTTGAACATTAACCTCTTATTAGATATTTCTCATATTCCAAAAGATGCCTTTTCACCCTATTGTGTCCTGTTGTTCATAGAAATATAAAGATATTTTTGAGGATATTATTGACATGTTATACTATATCTACCTCATGAGGATAAATGGGAGACCCTTTCCTTAGGCGTCAATAGCAGAAATAGCTGGTTTTCTTATAAACAACTGGTTTGCTATGATCCTAGAGGTGACAATTACACCAAGAAAAGGCTCAATTGTCACTCAGTTGAATCAATGATGTTGAACTGCATTTTTGTGTAGTGGGTTTATATTTTTCCTTTGCTCTGAACCCTTTCAAATGATTTTCCCCAATATCTCTTTAAATTGTTTTCTGTTTTAGATATTTTAGCAATCTGAAGTTAGTTTTGATTGGGAGAGTAACTGATGTTATTTTTAATAATTACTAAAAACATTACATTTTATAAAGAAGGAAACTAAAGTTCAGCATCTATCAATAACTTCTGAAGTCACATAGTTAGTAAATGGCAGAAGCCAAGATTCAATCCAAGGCCTATTTGTGGATTTTTCCAGAATACTAGGCTATTTCTTTAAGGAGTGAACAAAAATTGCAATCATGACTCAAGGAGTGTCCTTTGTGATATGGCTGCCATCAGATAGATGAGCCCACAAGCACCAACATGCACAGGTGAAGGATGGGTCACTCTGCCCTAGCAGGCACCATCCATGTCTACTATATGGCATTTTGAAGGATGAATTGGAATGGTAGGAGTTTAAAACATTATATATAAATATCAAAAGTAATACCATCTAAACTGGTATAATGCCTGGCAGGTAAAATAATGATTTTCCAAAAATATCCATATCCTGATCCCCAAACCTGTAAAAATGGTCCATTTCATGGCAAAAGGAACTCTCCATAATGAAGGCTAAATATATGAAAGTGGTGGAGGGAGATTATCTGGATTAGCTGAATGGCTCCAACCTAGTAATATGGTTCCATAAAGGTGGGAAACTTCTCAGGCTGAAGTTAGAGATGAGATGTTGCTGGTTTTGAAGATGTAGAAGAGGGGTCAGGTACCAAGGAATGAACCAGCCTCCAGAAACTGGAAAAGGCAAAAACAGCAAACCAAACCAAACCGTACCAAACCAGAATGGGTTTCCTTTGAATTGCAAGAAGAAATGCAGCCCTATGACACCTTGAATTTAGCCCAAGAAAACTCATGTTGAACTTCTAAACTACATAACTATAAGATAATAAGTTGTCTTGTTTTAATTTGTTACAACAGTGATAAAAAACCAATACAGTCGCTAAGCAGTAAGAAATTGATAAAATTCACACATTTTTTAAAAAGGCTTAAAAATAGTATCAGCCGTGTTTTATTTTATCTTTCCATTTGAAGTAGAATTAATAATTCTTATCTTTTTCAGAATTCATAAACTAATTTTAAAGGTCACAGAAGAAACAATTTCAATGAAAGCACAGTGACAGGTCAGTATATTGTAAAGATTAAGAAAAATATATCTTTAGTGAATCCCGTGAACTGTTAATGAAAGATTAAAAGGAAGAATATGTATTTATTTTTATTATTACATTAAAGACATAGGTGGCAGCTCAACACAAAGTATAAATCTTTCTGTTTGACTATTTCTTTTAATACCAGCCAGAGACTGTTTTTCTTACTGAGGAAAATGCAAAAATTGTGAGCTTTGTGGTCACCAGAGGGCGCCATGGGGCAGGCTGGCCCTCTCCTCCAAGGTTGGTTCCAGGGAGGCAAAGGATGGTTGCTGTGAGTCTGGAAGTCTGGGTTTCTTTGGTATTATCTGGCACTTTTGAAAATTGGGTATGAGAGTGGGAACAAGTTTTTGTACTAACAAATATTTTTATTAAAATTCAAGAGGCATATTCCTACTTGGAATACAAAAAATGCTAGCTATTGTTTTTATAAAAATAATGTAATTATTACATTATAGATTATTATTTTAAAATGTCCTGACTGTGCAATACGATTCCAATTTTGTACAATATTTTATAGCATTTTCTCTCCATTTATCTAACCACCCAGCCAAATTCAACACATTTTCCGTTTAGAAAGATATCTGTATCAATGCTCACCAAATATTGATGGCTATTTCTAGGTGCTTCTTCCTTTTTGAACTATATATATCTTATGTCAAATTTTTTCTTCTAAAACAACGTATAACAACAGACTAATTGAAGCAGATATGAAAATTCAGCAGTTTTTAATTAATCCAGACATTAAAGAAATTTTTTTAAATAAGGCTTTTTACGTTTACAGAACATTTTAAACCAGCCAACAGCGTTTATTTTGTGTCTGCCTTTCTCAGACCAAATAAAAAATATTCCTTTTCCTTCTCTTCTCTGAAATTCTGTATCAGGATAATGAGGAAGCCAAAGACGATAAGACACAGTTCGTGCCCACACTCTGTTGCTGCTAGAACAGTCAATGAGTCAGGAAAGCCAGATGAATTCTGCACCCTGCAGCACCCTGCAGGTCTGGAAGGGGCAGGGAAGCTGCTTAGAATGCACATCACCGATGTACCTGCTTTTGCTGTTTCCTGGCTTGTTTAGTTTTGTTTTGTTTTTCACCACGGCCCAAACTCACCCTTCTTGACCCTGGCTGTTAATGTCATTGGAAAGACAGCACAAAAGTACTGTAACAATTCAGTGAAGTTGGAGGTTTGATGGAACGCTTATTATGTGTCAGCTATAGTGCTAGGCATATTATACATGTTATCTCATTGAAGCTTTACATTAGTTATTCATGATTGGTAGTATTATTACCACTTCTTTTTCCTTTTTTTTGCTGTTGTTCAATTACAATTGTCCCCATTTCCCGCCCCCCCCAAACTGTATATAATATAACTTTCTCACAAATACCTTATTTTGGAAAAATAAATTTTTTCCAAAAAAGCATTTTTGTTAATGTGGTTCTGTCGTTGCTTTTTAAAAATAAATGCATGCAAATTTTTTATGAGTTTTAATTCCTATCATGGTAAATATTAATAGGTATAATCTACATAAAGCAAAGCTTTTTGGGTCTTCTATAATTTTTAAGATTGTAAAGGGACCCTAAGAGTAAAAAAATAAAAAGAGAGAACTTCTATCCCAATGACTCCTAAATGTATAACACTAAAGCAAATCTTTCTTATGAGCCACAATTCATATGCACATATCTAAAAGACAAATCAAAATAATCCAAAAGAGAACTCTTGATGCTATCCCAATCTGCCAGATTTGCTCTTCACCAGTTTTTCTAATTTTGGTAAATGATACCACAGTTCACTTAGTTACTCACCCCCCAAACCTAAGAATCATCACTGGCTGATGTCTTCTACAACTCCCCAGATCCGATCCATAGCAAGTTACACTGATACGACTTTTAAAACATATTCATAATCATATTGCTTCTCACCACCTTCATAACTATCACCCCGGTGCAAGATTCCTTTGGCACCTTAATTGTTTTTTTAATCCATACTGAGTAAGGTTTATGAAGGGTAGCAATAGAAAAGAATAAGATCATCATCATCATCATCATCATCATCATCAAAATACAAGCAGAATCCAAGTACTTCATATAATATTACTGATTTTGTTTTAATGTTTTTAATAATTACAGTACTTCCATTTTCTCTAACCAAATTAAAAAACCTTTAACTTCAAAGAATAAGTGATATCATATATTTAATATAATAATTTCCATTAAAAAATCTAAGCATATAACTTTAAAAGTTTTAAAATGTTAGCACCAAAGAAATTGATTTGAACATTTTATGTTTCAGAAACTTCTTAAATTTAGACAGTGGATTAAAACCTATATTCTGTATGTTCTTTTTATTAGATGTATAGTTCAACTTACCTTATCGAGTTCATCTGAAATTGCAATACCTGGGATTCAAAAGAGATGTATAAAAATGTTTTAGAAGCAATCTTTAATAACCTAAGATTAAAAACAAAGACAAAAACTCTATTTGTAAAACCAGTATGTTTTCCATTCTATTTTTTTTCTTTTTATTAGTGCTTCAAAATAATGTGGTACATCATTTGTACGAGTTAGAAATTTAAGTCAACTATGGCACCATGAACTGCTGAAACAATCCAAATGATGCAACAGAAACAAAACAAGTAGCATACTTCTTGTTAGATGTAGAGCTAATGCACAAAGATAATTGTAGGGATACAGCCTTTATGTTAGAACGACAATCAAGTACAAGTTAGCTCATTATAATTTCGTTCTTGCTTATGAATTGATTTAGACTCCTAGAGTGATAAAATATTAAGGCAGAATGGTGGCTAGAGATCACTTATTTTAATTCCCTTATTTTACAGGTTAGCCCACTAACTAGAGAGCTTAAGGGATTCGTCCTACCATCTCCTAGATCGACAGCTTCTTAAGACAATGGAAAAATTATTCTTCCCCACAATTCCCTTTCCGCCATCCACACATTCCTCACTGTACATCAGTTTAATTTCTGTTCTTACCATTTCTTCAAAATTTTGTGTCAGTAATGTAAAAAGTTTAGTCCTTGAATTTATCTCTCTGTGATAAGAGACACTGTTAAGCTCACTCTCTTTCTTGAAATGTTGTCCTCTCTTTTCCATTCTCCTGCTTTGTCTCCTCTTCTTTGGAGGGGGTCCTTTCTTGAAATGCCAAGGGTTCTTTGCTGAGCTGTCTCCCTCTTCAGCTGATATACTTCCCTTGGTTATCTAACCCATACCACTGAAATCTTTATTTCTTTATATGCTCTATATGGTGATAACTAACAAATATTTTTCTCCAGCATAGGCTTTCTTCCTGAGCTAGTTCTTCTGGGCATTTCAGTCTTAGCACATCAGGCTAAACACATCATCCTCCCTTCATATAGTCTCTCTCTCTCTCTTTTCTTTCTTGAATGCTATTGTGCCTAATGCTATACACAGGCACTGTGGCCAGGCATTGGAGCTGCTGTGGCCAGTTGTTGGGTTTGAGGCATAGGACACAGGAATATTGTGTCAAATCCCAGTGTGGGGTGGGCAAAGAGACAAGGAAAGCTCTAAGGTCTAAAGTCCAAGGGAACACAGAGAAAATAAGAACAGATGGAAACTAAAGTCCAGTAGGCTATAAAGTACAAGATAGAAGAGCTGGGTTATTAAATAGAAACTGAACACAGTCTCAAGAAAATATGCCCTAGTAAAGATCCTCTCATGTGCTCAGGAAGAGAATGTCTGTGGAGGGTGCTTTATGGGTTCCTAGACCATCTCTCACAGCACTAAACTAATGAATCAATTACCACAGTAAGCGGCATCACTCTTTCCCTTGTAGATAAAGCTAGAAACACAGGTGTATTCGAGATTCATTCCTCATAGCAATATTCTATAAAATTCTTTTTTGGTAAAAGTTATTGGTAGCTAATAATTTTATGTTACTGTACTAAAAGAGAGTCTAGTTACTACTTTGGGAATATTGGTAACAATTATTTGAGGACTTGCTGTACTAAGCATCTCCTTCAAATAATTCAAGGACAGAGGGCTTCGGGAAGGGGTAGCATTAAGCTGGCCAGTATCCATACCGAGTGTATGAGGTGGGGAACTCTGAGACATAATGGATCCGCAGCGGGGGAGTATATGTGAGGTCAGTAAGAGATCCCAAAGCTTTCTGAGCAATCATAGACATCTATAAAGGCCTAACATAAGTACGCTCTTATGAATGTTTGGGTTTAAAAATATATAAAATTATAAATGGTCACTTGGAATAACTCAGATTTCAAGATAATATAGGAATTTTATAGAACACCAAATGGTTTATGTCACCATCTACAATATATTGTTATTCAAGTTTATAAAGACCACTACAATATATTAAGTTATTCAAGTTTATAAAGACCAAATATATATTTAACTGCTTATATTTACATTTAATATAATGGAAACATTCCTTTCCAATCTGAATTGAAGATTAAAATGAATATATTGTTTAAAAATATTTAAAAGACTTAATCTATTTTAAAAGAGGGAGATAGTAGATACATAAAATAAAATTATCTTTTTCATCCAAAGTCATAAACCTTAGATACCTAGAATTATATAACCCATGATTTCCTTGTCTGAAATGTTCTTGATTTTCTTTACCTTTTTACATTTATATGCTTGGCATTGCAAAGAGTTTTTTTTTTTCCATTAAATTTTTAGAAAGCTATTGGTTGATCTTTAAATTTCTCTTACACCTCAGTTTATAAATCCATTATTCATAAAGATAGCAATAACATTTTACCTATCTAAACTGTAGCCAAGAATTAGCAAGTAAGTCAAAGGCCTTTGAATAGTCAAAATCTGTGTCACACAGAACTTGTCCATCACTCATGAATGAGCTCCTTGGATCCTTGTCCACTGTACATCACTCTCAATTTCAGCAACTATCAGAAGTTGTTTTGCAGAGCCAAGAAATGTTACCAGTAAAAAATGGGGATGAAGACAAAGGATGTTACAAAGACACTAACATACTAGAAAATTATAGGTCCCAGAATAAAATTCAAACTAGTTAAGTGGGGAACTTGCCTTGGAGAAGGAATTATTCCTCTAATTGTTCCAAGTGTTTGGTATGACATATTTTGTCCAGATATATATTGTTATATTTTTTAACATTTACATATTTTGCCTAATAACTTATCTAAATAAATCTCCATTTTATCATATACAGTTCTTTCTGCTCTCTATTTCCAATGTCAAATTACCTAGGGTAGTTTTCATTTTTTGTTATTTCACATTTAATCAAAGCTTAAATTGACTAAGAGCAGTTGAAAGAATTTTAAAGCAACACTTCTTTTCAGAAACATGAAGCTCCAATGGGAATCATTTACAATGAGACGCAAGGATACTTCTCCTAGTGCCTAGCGCAACATTCATAGCTATTCATTAGCTTTTAAAAGCCATCATATTTTAAGTTAACATTTTTAAAGTTTATAGGAACTCAGGAACAGTGGTGAATGCAAAATGTGAAAGAGAAACTGTAGTGAGCAGGTTCCTACAATATGTTGTAAGGGATAAAGGCCCAGGATTTGATCGTGGGACTCGATGCTAGAACACATGGTCTTCCTAAACACTGAACTGAGACCTTAAAGAAAATGAGTAGCCAAAGAGGCTACAAATCCCTGTAGCATACAAGTTCCCATCCCAACTCCCTGCTACAGAGACTTCCATCTTCATTGCCTTCATTACCAGCTTCATCCTTTATGCATCAACAACACAAAATTTTCTTTTCTCTGAAATACCTTCTTACGCACAAGCTTCTCTCTCAGCCAGGAACATCCCTCCCCACAACACACCTCACCCTCCTTTTACCTTAGCTTTACCTTCTTATCCTTCTACACTCTGTTCAGGTATAGCCTCCATCGGGTTGGCCCTAAGCCCCCCAGTGCTTTCCTAAAGCACTCTTCACAAGTCTCTGAAATTCTGCTTTTCACAAACATCCCCTCTATTAAAGGTAAACTTGAGGTCTGGGTGCACATATCACCCATCTTCTTATTCCCACATAAATGTCTGGAGACTAGATAAACGAATGTGGGGATGCGTGAACAAACAATTGTTGCGTTAACTGCTTCAATTTCCACTTACAAGCTGTTATTCTCTAACTCGGTGATTTTCAACTGGTGTGCCACAAGAATTTTTAAAACATGCAAAACCTCACTATTTATTCAGGAATAGTGACCTTTTTCCCCTTAGATTGTTAAATTTAAAAAAAAAAAAAAGACAATAGCCAATACAACAATAACCATTCAGTGTAAATGAATCAAAACTATGCCTGCTTTTCGGTCAGACTGGCAAAAAATATATTTTTTTTGGTGTGCCACAAAATTTCCATAATTAGCTTATGCATGGCATGAGATGAAAAAGCTTGAAAATTGCTGCTCTAACGTCTCAGGCTGTTGGTCACACAAGACTTTTTGGGTATGTTTTTGACTGACAAACTCAAAAAGCCATTTTTTTTCTTGGCTGAGTCCAGATTGCTATTATCAGTCATGGAGCACAAATATCTGTCCACTGTTCCCCCAACAGCTGGGCATTTTTCCCTGGTAAATCTCCAGCCAGTGTGTTCACATGAGCTATAATCTACAGACCACTGTCTGGGTGGCCTGAAGGTTCTCATCCTATCGTTGCCTCATTTCAGAGAAATCTGCCAAAAGTAGAAAAAGCATGAGGCTCAGAAAGCACCGGAAGCCCTGCTACCCTGGGAGCAGATCTCATTGAGCAAAGGGTGTCACGTAATAGCTTTAGCTTTTAGTGTATTTATTTATTTACCCATTTACTTACCTATTTATTTATTGTCAAGCATAATTTCTCAACAGATAAGCCACCATAAAAGCCAAAGATATCTTATCTGTAAATGCCCAAACACATGCAATCTCATATCAGAGGCCCAGTCTCAGAGAAGCAGAAGGGGAACCTGCAGTGATGAAAGAGTGAGGGCAGGGTCTCAGAGGAGAGAGGTCAGAAGGACTGAAACCAGAGGTCGCGCTCACCCCGCAAACCCAGGCTGAGTTATGCACTAATCAATGTGCTTTGTGCTGGGCAGTCCAGGCTCAGAGGGCCCTGCCCACAGGCAGCCCAAAGTCCAGAGAAGGGATAAGTGAAAATTTAATAATAGCAGATACGTATGTTCAGGGAGAAGTACAGAAGCACGAAAAAAAAAAATGAACAGGCACAAAATTCAGTCCAGAGAAGGATGGTAACGGAGAAATCAGCTTGGAGGAAGTAGTTTTTGAGCTGAGGCTGAAGACAGCAATAGGATTTTGCTTGGGAAAAATGGAAGCAGTGGAGGGACGTGGGGTGAGATTTCAGGGCACAGGGACAGCATAAGCAAACCCATGAAATGAGGAACATCAGCGAGACTGAAAAACTCCTGTGTTGCTGGTGCATAACCTGCCTGATAAGCATGAGGTAATACTAGCGACATGATTAAGGGCCAGGTCATGGAGCACCTCCCATGAGATTTTAGGGAGCCACGGAATACCTAAGAAGTGAGTGTCAGGTTTTCCCTGCACATCCATCACAAGGATGGCAGTGAGGGCAGTGAGTTAAGGGTGTGGACGAGACGATTACTTGTTGCTCAAACCAACTACTTCCATGGTCCTCCTGGGCACACAAGCTATACTGTATTTCCCAGCCTCCCTTCCTCTTGGCCGTGGAATGCGGGCAGATGTAAGGCTCTGTGTTTCCAACTCTGGGCATTAGAAGCCTCCCCCAGGATCCTCTACTCTCTCCTTCTGCTTCAGTAGGACCACTACAAAGCTCGCACTGAAGATGGCAGAATAGCAGATGGAAGAAGTCTGCACCACTGGCTCACTCCACAAACTTTTGCCTGATGAGAAAGTACTTGTACTATATGAAGCCATGGGATTTTGGCCATGAGACTCCCCTAACATAAGGTTATGACCATCTAGTCAGACACAAGCTCAGTAAGGGCAGAAACACACCTGTTTTTCCTGGCACAGGGCAGGAATGAAATGGAACATGTTAAATGGATAAGCCAATGATCTGGTCAGTATCCCTGTGAGTGTGAACTAGGGGGTACTACTGTAATAGGGCTGGAGAAGAGAATCAGACCCAAGACATATTTTACAGGGAAAATGAGCAAGATTTGGTAAGAATTAATTCTGAACACTTAAGCGGGAGAAAGAAGAGTCCAGAAGGGCACCAGCTTGGGTGACTTGGTCAGTGATGGTATCACCATCTGAGACACAGCATGCAGAAGAACAGCCATGTTTGAAGAGGGAGGTATGATCTATTCTGATACATTGAAATTAAACATGGCAGTGAGACATCTGAGTTGAAACATGTTTTAGGCATTTGTTTCAAAAGCAAATACAGTCTAAATGTGAAATAGAGTTCATCCTTACCTAACAGTACTGATAAATTCTGCAACTTTAAGCAAACTACTACGTAATGAAACTAATATTACCATCAGCTGATTTAAACAAGTTTCTATAGCATATCATCAAGATTTATGCATATTAATTTAAGCCTTTGACACATAAATAGGATAAGATTCTTTTCATGAATATAGCATAGCAACAAACCGAAAACTCACTTTATTATTATTTGCTCCAAAAGTAAAACATAAGTGCAGAGTAAAACCTCTAACCTAGGCCCTAGGATTACAGAATCATTGCTTTTACAAAAAAAGTATGTTACAAGGTACTATGTCAGGCTCTGAAAGGACTCTGAGAAGAATCTGTCCCAGTTACGATCCTTAAGAAATGTAGAGACATTAAAAAGTCATGGAAGCAATAGGTATGTTTGTTACTTAAAATGAGACAAAACAAAGGACTTCAAAAGAGAAGAATGAATAGATACCATTAGGTGTACACCTGACCTTGGTAACAGAGACATTGTAGGAAGAGAAAGTCAAATAACCGTGGGGGTGGGGGAGTCTATAGCTTCTCCTACTCTCTGTAACCAGTCTTCCTGTGATTCTGTGTAATATGCAAAATCAATTTGTAGCTCCAATCTCATGCCCTTAGAACTCCTCAACCTCTCACAGAATTTTAATGAGGATGTTAAAAATGGGTTACCGGCAGTATTAATGAATGTTTCTACTTTAACGTTGGTTAGGAATTTCAATTACAATTAAGTAACTGAACTTACTTCGAGAGAGCTTCTCAAGGGCTTTTCCCAGCTTCTTGCTCTCTTGAAGGATGTGGTTCAATTCATCAAAATCACGGCTTTCTGGTTTAGTTCGCCGGTTCCACTTAGGATGATCTACTGACCTTGGCACTACATTTAAAAAAAATGATTACTTCAGAAGCGTGCTACATAGTGATAAAAAAAACTTACTATTCATAATTATATGAAAAACTGTATCAAGATCAAGGTACAGAATAAAATTGTCTTGGAAATGGTTTTCTTGTGAGCAACCAGTAGGGAAGTTAAAAAGCTGGGTTTTAAGAAATCTTTTAAATGCAAAGGTAAAGGGAAGTGTTATGATGCTTATAGAAAAAAGAAAATTCAGGTACTGATTTAAAACTAATAATTTTTATAATTTAAGGAAAACATACAAGTAGATTTTGTGTTTTAGCAGCTTAAAGATGATCACCAGACATCCTTGCTGTCTTCTAATAGAACTGTATTTACCTTCATTTCCCTCCAAATTCCCACTAGAATTATGTTATGGTAAAGGAATTTTTTTTCTGTCAAAGAATTAGTTAAACAAGGAAAGAAGACATTATTAAGCAAGAAATAGCATCACAATTTACTGGAAGATGCAAATGGTTTGATGAATGGTAAACAAATGTAGTAAGCTAGAGAATACTGAAACCTAGTCCCTGAAGAGAGAGATGCCCAAAAAAAGTGGATATTTCAGACCATTTGAGCATTAAAACATCAATCAGGAAGGACTAATGACAAAGTGATAAGGATATAAAAAAAGTTTGTTTTTTTTCACATGGGAAGATTTCATTAAATGTCCAATATAACTGAAGATATATTATTACTAAATTTTACAGCAGTGGTAATAAAGATCTTAAAAGCTTTCAGAGACAAAAATAGCAAATGAAATTGTTATCAGACTTCTCAATAGAATGTTTCTCCACAGAAGACATAGGAGAAATTCCTTCAAAAGTTCAACTGAAGATTGATTCCAACTTAGAATCTTATACCCAACTACAGGTCCAGCCAAGACACTTGTAAGGACTCCAAATTTATCTTGCAAGCACTTTTCCCCCCAGAAAGCTACTAGTGGAGGTGCTCCCCCAAAATCATAAGTGGAAAGACTTAGAATTCAGGGAACAGGTGATCCTCCATAAGAAAAAGGAAGGGAGATCGCCAGGATGATCGTGAAGAACAGCGTTGGGAGAGAGCTGCCAAAGCAGCTGGAGGAGACCAAAGAGCCAGGGCTGGAGCAAGAGGACAGAGGGCTACAGGAGAGAGGGATCTAACATTTTTCAAGTGAAATAAAGTATAAAATATAAAATAAGACTGAAGTTGGGATTACTTGATGTGTTTGATCATAACTGAGAGTGTTTAATACTTTAATGCAGGATTTGGTGAAGCATTAGTGATAGGTACATAGGAAATAAACAGTCTACTATTAATTCTAATTGTCAACTAATAACAAATTAATAGTTGCACATCTAAAGCCTGTTTTGTGAAAAAAGGCTAGTTAATATAGTTTTGCTTATATCAATGCAGAATATATATTCAACCAACATTTGAAATATCTGCATGACTATAGTGAGATGTTGAGATGTGGTCTGGGTCTGAAGTACAAAGTCTTAAAAGGAGGCCAAGGGAGGATGCCTCAAATTTAAAAAGTAAAGGGGAACCGCGTTAAGTATCATGTATGCTCAGCTATCTAGACTTGTGTACCAACAGCGATTTTTAAAAGGGTTCCACATTAGAAGCAGAACAAAGGAGAAAGAACACTGTCGTCTTATAGTACTTAACTACTTTACTTTTTGGACCATATATATTTTTGTTTTGATAAAAACAAGTAAAATAAATTTTTAAATATTTATATGGTAAGGCTATAGGAAAGACAGACTGTTGAAATATCTTTTCTGTCAACTATTCAAAAAGTAATCTGGCAATAACTATTATGATAAAAAAATATACTGACCCTGTGACCCAGCAATCTTATGTCTGGTAAATTATAACAAAACAATAAAAACACCTATACTTCTATATAAATTACAAGATTGTTTATTTTATCAGGAAGTGCAAGATATTACTGTTTTTATTTCAGCAGTTGGTGGCGGCAAAGGTCTAGAAATAATTTAATGTCCTTCAACAGGAGAATAAATAAAGGCACATTCACACTATGACGCAGTGTGTATTTATTAAAAAGTGTAACTTAGATCTAAGTATATTAGCACAGAGATATGTCCACAGTGAATTTCAAATGATAAAATAAAATTACTTATGTTTACAGTTGAAAGCCAGTTTTACGAAGCAAATCAACTCAAATATTTTACGCTAGTTTATACAAAGAGAAAGATGTAAAAAATGCAACCTATTTCAGAGGATGTGAAAAGATACAAACTACTTCTGAGGGAGTAGAATTTGAGTGGAATGAAGGAAAAGACTCTATTAATATATGTATGTATTTTTTTAATTGTTCAAATAAGCAAATCTTACTTCTCTAATTTAAATAAATCTAAAATTTAAAAATAGAGTGCAGCTGCTTCCTCTATGTTTTTTTTCTTTTGTTTAAGGGACTCTGTGGTGGAGCTGTCAGCTAACATCAACACACTGGTGTTCAGGCCATGGAGAGTGGACAGAGTGACCATGATAAATGGCTCTACAGAAGACTTCCCAGCATACTGCTGTTACCCCGAGGGTCACTCCCCAGGGGGCCTCTGGGAACAAGCTCAGGCACAGGGGAGAGGAACTCAGAACAGGAAGCGGATAAAACTAATTTGTACCATATCCTTCAAAAAAATCATTTGGCGCTTTTGTTCACCTTCCTTCATTGAACAATTTCTCTAACCTGCATCGTCTTATCTAATTTTCATGGAAATTGCCATATGCTATCAAGAATTCTCTCTTTTTTTAAATTCACAAACTAAGAGCATAGATTTTAAAAAGTAAGTCCCAACTGACATTCCCAAATAGCCGCGAGACAGGACCAGCTGCTAAACCACCCCAAACCTTGCAGACCTAGCAATTAAATGCACCAGCATGGCAAGTGAGATCAGCAGCAGAACAAAGGAAATACACTGATTCATGAGAAATTGTAAACTGTTGTTTTTTAAGCCATTGAGTCTTAGGGAGGATATATGAAAGCAATAGAAAGCTGATACAACACTGAAGGACTTTCTTCAGCAACTTCCAAGAAGAAATAAAGAAATTTTTTAGTATATTTTATAGCTTGTGATGATTTGATACATACATATATATGCATATATATGATATCCAATTTATCAAGGAAACCAAAGCTTAGGAAACCAAGTCTACAGTACAATCATGGTTTAATCAACTATGGGCTTGGTGATTTCCAAAGATGTCTTAATAAATAATGGAAGGACACAGCTTCCAGATGGAAACGTCTCTATAATTTTTTGATGAATTAAAAACCTTACTTAGTTATACTTAATCTTAAAACTGAGAGCTAAAATTTAAATACCTTTTTAAAAAGATTATGTGGAGAAACAGAAAACAACAGAACAGTATCAACAACAACATATGACCCACATGCAGTGACAGAATCTGAGAGCGGGCGGGTCATTTACATTTATTATAATTATTGAAATGTTTGCACTTAAACCTATCATTTTGGTATTTGTTTCTATTTTTTCAGTCTGTTCTTGATATCTCTGTTCCTCTTTTCCTGTCTTTGTTTTGGAATAAGAAATCATATTTTTATTTTTGAATCTCATTTTAACTGAATTTTTCTTTGTGCCATTTGTGTTTTGTAATATTGCTTTACACATTGCAATATTCATCTTTTACCTATTACCAGAAAAGTTTAAAATATATTATATCAGTTCAAGAACAATTTACTATATTTTGACAACATATTTCTAATTATTCTGAGTCCTGTATTCTTATTATCACATATATAATCTCTGTGTATACTATAAAAACTCCCTTTGTTATTAGTTTTGCTTTAAAAAGCTAACAGTCAGGTGGAACCAGAGCTTGGCAATAGGGCACCTGAACTGAAAGCAGTATCATCAGATGCCAGATCGTCAGCAACATTCTGTGACCTGGCAGCATCCCGGGAGAAGCAAAGGCTCTGCAGCCTTTTAGCATTCTTCCTCAAGTTGATGGGGTCCAGTACTGGCCCCTTTAAAATTAGTAAGCCTCTAGCTTTGGCCAGTATGACGTGTCATTCCGTAAACTGACAGTTCATGGATCCAATTCCCAGTTAGGGCACATGCCTTGGTTGCAGGTTTGGTCTCCAGTCAGGGAATGTGTGAGAGGCAACTAATTGATTTCTTTCTCTCTCTCTCTCTCTCTCTCTCTCTCTCTCTCACTCCCTTTCTATCTCTCTCAATCAATGAACATGTCCTTGGGAGAAGACAAGAAAAAAAATTTTTTAATAAATAATATTAGCAAGCCTCTAGGGATAAGAAGGAAGGGAGTGAGAGTGGGAGGGAAAGAAATAGGCAGACACAGAGAAAGAGAAAGAAAATCAAAATAGAAATAAATATAGGGACTTCAGTAATAAATAATAAGTAGGACTTCAGGGAAATAATGGGTAAATGATTTCATAAAATTTTGTTAAATATTTTGAATACAAAGCTCCTTCACTCCTGCTCTAAGAGATTTCATTTGCTTTTATATACTTTATTAAATGTGGCATGGGTGTTGCTTTGAATATGTTGCAATAGTGCAACTGGACATGAGAGGTAAGGGACTCAGCCCAAGCAAAATACATTCTTAAGAGAGAATATTCAAAATGGTCTAAAGTAACCAATTATACATGCTTAAGACTATGAATGAGTAGATATAAATAAAGCTCATTAGTGCTGAAATAAGTATGAAATTCATTAGGATTAATAGCCAGAAATATCAGATAAAATATTTAGCTTCAATTCCTACCTTTTCTTTATTTTGTTAATAACACAGACTTACATATATTAAGTAATTTTGAATAATAAACTTGCTTACATGATTTGGATTCTTGTGATGATGGAGAAATATTAGACACAGCAAGGTCACTTTTTGACTTCTTTGGCTTCTTTGCATTTAATTGCCAAGGCTTATCATAGCTTCTAAAATCCCTTCTTGTTCCTTTATGTTCTGTTAAAACAACAACAAAATATATATGTATATGCTCAATAATAAGTGATTTCAAGATTCATAAAAAAACTAAATTCATGAAGTAATTAGGCATATTCAGCAAAATCTATAGATTACCTTGTATCAAAAATGATGCAAATATTCACAAACATTTCTTGCTTCATTTCCCCTGTAAATTTCAGTTATCCATTTGATATGAATCAGTTTGTATGTTAATATGATTAAGATCATCTTAAACTGTGAAATTATTTGAAACACTTTTTAAGGCATGAATCACCATTACTTAAAATAACATTCTTTAAATGCTGCCATGGAAGAAAGTATTGTATTCTGTTGTAAACAAAAACCACTAACCATTTAAGTAAATTTTACTCACTAATGTTAGCTTACTCACTATTCACTATGACACATAAAACTTACATTTGCCTAAAGTTCTTCCAGAGCATCACTCATTTTTTTTTCCCATTCTCTCTTCAAGGAAGATTCATTCAACTGACTTTGTTGAAAGTTATAGTTCCTCTTCAAAGATGATCAATGTCACACCAATTCCCAGGTTAAATGATCTTTTCAAGAGTTCATCCCTCTTGACTTCTTTACCAAGCATTTGACCTTTTTAGACGGAGTTACCTTTGCAGAATTTTTCTTCTATTCTCGGAGTACCACTGTCTTCTCATCCCATTAACTGACTACTCCTCTTCTGCCTCAGTCATTGCTTCCTCAACTTCCCCTTTCACCTAGGTGCCATTCTTTAGAGTTTCCTTCTGTCTTCTTCTTTAAACGTCTAAAAGTTTTCAAATCACCCAACCTTTATAAATGACCTATACATCTTTCTCTGGCCTCCCACTTATAAATATCAAATAGACCTCATGATACATTATATGGATTCCTCAGCTGTTTATGTTAAAGTTGTACTTAACTAGGTGCTATACAATTTTTTTTTATCTCCAACACCCCATTAAATACCAAAAGAGGCATAAATATTCTAAAACACTTGAAAGAGAAATAGTGGTCTGTGGTCTGCCAGAACTCAGGAGATATTTCTATACACAGGATTAAGGCAGAAGACAGGTACATCAGAAAGATATTGGAGGATTTCAAGACATCCACAAGGCTCGCCCCCATCTCAGACTTATCTCCTTATGTTGTTTCATAATCCCTCAGGATTTTTCTTTCTATATCTGTCCTAACACTATTATTTCTTCTAAGGCAATATGGGCATAGGAATGAAGAATCCTTTTTATAAAGTGTAGCATCTCATGATACAAAGAAAAGCTAAAAGAGACCAGAGGGAAAGATATGTTGGATTTTGTGGCTTTTTAAATTCTCCACTACTGGGAAAGAAAAATAATCCACATTAAATTAAATAATCTAAAAATAATATTATTCTTATTAGCTGTTTGAAAAGAGCTATGAGATGGAAAGTCACTTGTCACTGTAACAGAGACCTACAAAATTCAACTGACAGTGGAATACTCGATAGTGGCTAAAGTTTCACCTGCCTCTCTAAACTTTTTTAAAGCATTTTAAAAGTTTCAAGCTATATGGTGAGAGGACAAATAAGAGTCCACCTAGACATTTATTGACAAACCTAAAACTAAATAGAGCACTGCTCATTTAAGTTTGAATTTAAAAAATGTGATTTTAAGAAAAAAATTCAATATACAAAACAAAAATTCAACATTCAAGATACAGAGAAAATTGATAGTTTTACAGAAGGTTTATTATTGAAAACATTTATATTTTAGAATGTGGCTAATTTGTCAATAATGATAAAAGAAAAAGAATTCTATGAAACAAAAAGAAATGAGAGGACATAGGCTAAACAACATGATAAAAATATAACTGCAGACAGAAATCAAAAAAGAGGATGAGGTAAGGAAATACTGATAGGAAGCTAACATGCGATACCAATATTTAAAGTTGTGTTCAAAGCCAGGAAGAGAAAACTGATACTGTAGAAAACTGAATCAGTGCCACAGAGAACACACTTAACAAACACCTCTCTCCAGACATTAGTCTATAAAGAAGGCAAATGCCATATGACATGAAATGAGAGGATAGAGAACAGTAAAGGAAACTCAATTTCCACACACTTGATTTTACTTAAGAAGAAATCAAAACAAATATAATAGAAGCAACAACTAAATATACAAAAGGGAAAATGTTCTAGGTTTAAGACCTGGACTTGCCCATTGAAAGGATTCACTGAATATAATGAAAAGTTAAAGAAAACAGGGAAAACATTTAGATGTATTCCCATTAAACTTTTGAATATGAGAAATAAAGTAAATTTCATAAGTATTTTTAAAGGATAATTAGAATATCTAAAAAGGAACAAAAATAAGGCTGCTTTCAAGTTTGTCCTTGACAATATTAAGTGACAACCTTTTGAAAAGATGTGCCCCAAGTTGTCTGATACATTTAAAGGCGACAGGAGGTGCTCATTTCGGCAGCAAATATACTAAAATTGGAACGATACAGAGAAGATTAGCATGGCTCTTGCGCGAGGATGACATGCAAATTTGCAAAGCGTTCCATATTTTTTTTTAAATGGCGGTAAGAGGACACTTTAAGATATTTTCAATAACTATTATACCTATATGCATTGAATATTGAGACACTTTCTAGCTAATTAGAACATACACCAAAAGAAACAATTCAAAATTTCAGTCAGGGTTTAAACTGTCATTATTTACTATCACCTGAATTAAAATTTCTTCAGTTATATTCATATCTAAGAATTATTCTCTACTTTCCTTCTCCCTTTTGTCCTACTCTTTCCTCTAAAAATTTTCTTCTTTCCCTTCTGGAACATACATTTCATAGTAAACAAACACTCCTCTATTCTCAATCCTCTCTCCCATTTCATGTCCTAAAGAGACACCTCATTCCTCCCACAAGAGCGCTTTACTTGGCAGCTTCCTGGAGAGTGTTCATCCTGTGCTACTCACCACAGGATGGCTCTTCCAGGTCCATCAACGTTAAGCAGAAAATCCCTCCTGTCTTGTGAGGCATGCTGCCTGTCTACACTTCTCACCACTCTTCACTGTTGCCATCTTTCTGCTCCTGTTTACTCTCACAGCCCTACTCAAGGTATTGGTGCAGCCTCCCTTGACCTTTCAACAACTTGGATGAAACTCTGGTGACCTCTGAAACCTTAGACAAACCCTGTGTTAAGCCTCAGACTTCACTGTCCTCAACTTTAAAAAGCTTCCCTTCCCTGATGCTTAAGACACTTTCACACTGAGGCCACCAACGGACTTTCTCATCATCTGGAATCATTCCACCTCAAAAGTCTCAAATGGCACAACATGCTGTCCTTCTGCACCTCTCACATGTTCACTCTACCCGCATCTGCACCTGTACTTACGCTGGCTTCCTAATGGTCTTTGGCTCTTTGCTTTGCTTTTCCTGTCTAAACCTTTTCCTTTCCTTGTTCACTGCCCTCCCATACCAGACCATGTGCTTCAATCACTTGCATGATTTGCTCACAAAAGTCCTCAATTCTTTCACAAAACTGTTCTTCCACCCTTCACCCTGATGCTGGCAATGGCACAACCACAGTTCTCAGTCAGTCCTTCCAACTGTTTCCTCTGCTCTCCTCCCAGTACTTTCAGTCATTGAAAAATTAGTCTTGTTAATGGTTTCCATGATGAATTCATCATGTCTTCAACTTCCAATAGGCTACAGAACTGCCTACAGCCTTTTTGTATTTTCCTTTGCCAACTCTTTTTTTTTTTGTTTCCCTTGGTGACTTCTCGCAATTGCATCACTCACTTCAGTCTCCCCTATCCAATCCCCAACCCTTCTGTCTTCAGTAAACAACCTCACTTCTCAATAAACAGACAACATTTTAGGTATCATATCTGATCTCACACTGGCCTTCTTCCAGTCCAGCTCCTACTCAATCTATAAATATAACCACAACTTCTTCCATTCTTTCACTCCCATGGTTTTAATGATTTTGTATATAATATGAACACTTCATCTGTGACTCCTGTCTTGATCCATCCAAAAAAGTTCAGACTCATACCTGCCTGCTGGAATTATCCACGATGATGCCCTACAAGAAATTCAAATTCATCTGTAGGAACTGGACTTATTATTGTCTTTCATAAATTTACTCCTGTGTTTCCATCTTGTTTTATTAAACAAGCATGTATGTCTTTAGCCAGGTCAGTAGACTGGGAGTAGTAAGAATCTCTACGTCTCCTTCAGTCTTGCTAAGCAATGAGTCATGAAGTACTTGTGCCAGTCAGAATTCTAAGATGATCCCTATGGTCTTTGCCCTTGACGTTATACCTTACATAATTCCCTTCCCTTGAGTGTAGACAGGATTTTTGACTGACTTTAAACCAAGAGAATATGGCAAAGATGATGCTAATTTGCTAATCATAATGTTCTGATTATGTCTTGTTATAAAGGACTCCATCTTACTAAACTTGAATGAGAGAATTCCCTTGCTGGTTTTACAGAAGTGAGCTGCCATAATGTGAGAGTGGCATGTGGCAAAGAAATGCAAGTTGCATCTAGCAGTTAAGAGCAACCCCAGGCTGAAATCCAGCAAGGAAACAGGGGCCCCAGTCATACAGCTACAAGGAAATTAATTCTGCCAATAACCTGAATGAGTTTGGCAGCCTGTACTTTCTTACTCCAGACTCCAGATGAGAATGCCACCCAGCCAACATCTTGATTTCTAGACTTGTAAGATTAAACAAAGGATCTAATTAAAATGGGAAAATGAGGCTATTGCATAATGGTAAAGCTGGTTCCCCAATGTCCAGAGTAAATGAATCTTTCTAAGACTGAACGTAGTACGTAGATAAAATTGGGCCTGGGGAAATAGAGAATAATCATCGGTGCAGGTGAGAAAGGTAACTTTGTGGAAATCTAATGTTTACCTTTCTACAAATAAACTGAAGCATTTAATTCAGATTATTCATAAAAAGAAAAAAAAAGGCAAGCTTAGAATAATTAGCTTGAATTCATGCAGAATGAAATCTTTTCATGAAAATCTGAATCTTATTTCTATAAAATTTGATAGACAAATTCTCATATTTTAGAGCGTAATACATAACAATGCATTTAAATAGAAGAATATTTTATGACAAATTTTAGCAGATGGGTGAAGTCACAGATTAACACCTGAAACCTTAGGTAACCATCTAGATTTATCTTTTTATACTCAGAAAGACTTTTGTAAATTTTTACATTAAATGTATCAAAATTAACTATAAAATATATTTTTTTCCTTTACCTGATGTTTCACTTTCTGCCCAGAGAGCTGCAGATCCAGATAAAGTTCTCTGAAGTTGTCCACGGCTTCCTTGTTTAGACTGCAGATGGTCAATGAGAAACGGGATTGGCTGGTCAGGCGTCTCAGTTATTAATTTGGTCATCAATTCCTGAAGGCAGAGTAGAAAACACATTTACATCTAACAATAGTAACACATACCTACTTAGCATTCATTATTGCCAGGCACTGTTCTAACTGCTTTGTGCACTGCAACTAATTTAATCCTAACGACAATCTCTTCAGGCAGGTGCAGGTCAATGTCGTCATTTTGAAGAAACAGAGGTGCAGAAAAGTTGTCTACACTACACAGTCAACATATGGCAAAGCCAAGATAGTTTTATTTACTTTTATTCTTATTATTCTAATTGGCCAAAGACATACTAGAAATTTAAACTCTTTTAAAAATTATGCTCTAAGAATTTTAAACTTCAGATTACTATTTTAAGTGATTCAGTTATAAACTCAACTTTCTAAAACTTCATATATGCTATTCTACACCAATGATGTTTTGTCTTCCTAACCATATATAAATATCCCCAAGTGAAGAAAATTGTATTGGAATGAAATAAATAAGTAACAAGTCACAGAATCAACAAGTGTCTTAAACTAGCCTCCGAACAATACAGAATTTCATTTTTCCAAAAGCCCTGGTGGGTATTCATTCTTTCTTCGCTTTTTAACCAGTTAAGCAATGGAAATTTCTCCACCTGTCAAACAGGCCATTCCATTTGTGGACAGCTCTAATGATGCCTTAAATTGGGCAGAAATCTGACAAAGGGTAATATCTACACACTGCTTTTTCCCATCAGAAACAGCAAAGAGCAAGCTCCAATGTGTGGTCAGTTAGAGTCCCCAGACTGTTCTCGTATGAACAGTTGCCAAACCATGTGGATATCATTTTGTGTTGAGTAATGGGGTTTGTGAACTTGCATGCACCATTTTACATTCATATCAGCCACATTTCGTCTTGTTGGGTTCCGCTCAGAATTCTAGCCTGTCAGTTACTGTTTTGAGTTCAGAATCTATGCGAGGCAGTGATTCTTGTGAGTAAACCAAACAATCAGATATCCAAGTGCAAACAGAAGGGATCCTGGAAATTTCCCATCCTTTTTGTCTTTTCTGTTGGTAGCCCATTCCCTTTGCCTTGCATGTCCTTCTCTCAGAGGTTGACATCGTTAGGTTGCCATCCTTCATCTCTAATGACATCTATTTAGAAACCAATCTTCATAAAAGTTTTACACTTCATTGTTTTATTTTCTTCACATAATTTACCACTCTCTAATGACACTCAGAATTATGTCATTAAATATTTGCTTATCTGTTTGTGGCTGTCCCTACTCCTCTTTACTAGCACACTGAGAACAAGGATGGCCTGATTTGCTCTGCACTCTCTCCCTGAACATGGAACTCTACCCAGCTCACGGGCAGTATTGAATGAATGAATGAATGAATGAATGAATGCTTAGCTTACTGACCATGGGTAAATATTAGTTATCAAAGTGGCTGACTGTCCTAATAAGAAATATTTCAAGCATTCATTGATTCTTAGACCAGCAAAATATATCCTTCTGACCTCCCAGATAAGAAACTGTGCTCATGATATCTCAGGGATATTAACTGCCATTTACAACAGTCTAGGGACACACAGTTATCTGGGTAGAGGTTAAGTGGATTGTGTAGATGACAAAATTCAATATGATCTCAGAGACATGGATAAAAGAATTCAAGGTATCTCAAAAATGTGCAGATTGAACATAGAATTGGAAGGAACAAAGGAATTCTACCATAAATATACCATGAAGCAAAATATTTATCAAACAAATATAAAACTTCTTTATATTCTGAAAAACAGCCAAGAAAACAACCAGTTAACACAGGTTTTCTTTATTTGTTATTTAAAACATCAATTCCTGTAGTTGTAACTGAAGAGGTCATGCCTTTACTGTGGTTAAAGCAATGCAGGGTTCAGTTAAACTCTCATTATAAATCAGTGGGATGCAATTTAAAACACTTTGGATCTTGCTTCTGTAGAAGACATGTGCTATGTTCTATTTAAATTCATTGTACATTTCAAAAGCTATGAAACAATTGAGACAAAATAAATAGAAGGACTGACTAGATTACTCCTGTCACCGAAGGCCGGGTACTCAGCTAAAGCAACATTAGATCAGATAACAGCTTTAAAGCCTCAGCGATTTCTATCCTGAAACTTCTGAAGATCTCATGCTAACTTTTTTTGTTTACTTTTCAAATTAGGTGAAAAATTTCTGTGGGTATTTTTCTTCTTTGAAAATAAACTGAAGCATTCCTATACTGTCTTTAGAAGATGGCTCATACAATCATAATAAACATAGTAATCATTGTTAATTGTTTTTAATCCTCAATCTTGTAACTAATTTTGGATATGCCTATATTCCATTTTATGCAGGCATGAAAGAGATAATGTGTATTTAGGCAGGGATATTGTTTAGCTAACTGAGTACAATGATCTGAGAGAAGGGCAAAGCACTCAAAAGTACAGGCAAAGGAACAATTAGAGTAAACTGCCTACCGATCTCAGAATTTATGGTGCACAGGAAGCAGAGGACATCAAGGAGAAAAGAGATCAATGAATTGGATGTCCATGTAGGGTGAAAGAAAAGCTGGAATTGGGAAACCAGGGTCAGTGAGCTAGAAGGATAGGACGGGATGGTCCGAGAGAAAGATGCTGGAAAGTGAGACTACAGAGAGTCTGCAGTTATTGGTAATAGCAGTCAGAGTGGCTGAGGCAGGAAATCAGGTAAAAATAATTGGATGAGAGGAGCTCAATAAAGACACCAGGATGATGAAAAGGCCATCTACGTGCATATAGAAATTGTCAACGAGGAATTACAGGTGTAGTGTGGTAATAACTAGGGGTTAAAACTGTTGAGGAATCTGGATGAACCACCCAGGGGTTTACAGCTTGCAGCTACAAGGAACAATGAGGAGGTGTGGACAATAAAATCTGAAGACAAGGAGTTGAAAAGATATTTTAAAAACAGCTCTTAAATCTAACAAGTTTAAAACATTGAAGTACTAATCTTCTTTATGAGAAATATTTTCTTAACTTGAAAAACTATACTATTACCATTAAAATAAAAAATATAAAATATTACATGATTATTAAAATTTATATAGTCATTTTCAAAGAAAAGTTGTATTTAATATACACAACACTAAGTCACTTTACAAAAAAGTTAACAGATAAGGCATTTAATACGAAATGTGCATTAAACTAAAAGTCATGGCATTAGGCATAGGCAGAAATTCCTATATAAATTAAATTTAGCAGCATGCTGACATCGTATATTCCCTATGGGTTATGAAAAGTAAAGGAGCACAGTGATGTCCTCAGTAACTGCTGGAAATGGATCTCATTTACAGATACCTAGTACCCACATTCACAGAAGGTATGAGCAGAACTCCGTTTATATATGATTTCTATAAGGTTTTGTAGAGTTACAAATGTTTTGATAAAAACAGACATCATGTGCTTAAGACTAAAATTTCTTGATGAACAATAAACAGCAATCAGTTTCAACAAACCCTCACTGGGTCTGACTGAGCTCAGTGCAGCTGATAAATCACGAGGTGACTTAGAAAGATTCACAATCATTCAGTAAAATCTATTTTCTGCTGAAGTAATGGAAAATCTTGCCAGCTGTTTTCAAGACTGTTTTACATATGAAATATGCTGTGTATGCATATATATTTTTATTTCACCGAAAACATTTTTAACACTAAGTCCAAGATTTATTTGGAAGAAATGTGGTTCTGTAGCATTTGTGCACCAAATTATATGTATGTTGGTTTCTGTATAATGGAGTGGAATGATCTTACACACCTACATATTGACTAGCCCCTCCCTCATGCCCCAAAGTCCTGTTAAAATAACAACAAAAAAAAAGTATTTACAGAATGAAAACATAATAGCAAGATATAACAAGAAAGGGTGCCATCACTCGACTAGAGGTTTGAGAAACTTTGGGATCATGAAAAACAAAGCAGGTGGGGTAAGATTATGGTTACACCAAAGCACGGAAGACACTACAGCCAGACAATAGAAGTAAATTCTATTCTTTCTAAGGGAACCAGAGAGAATATTGAAGGCAAAGTACAAAACTCGGGGCCACGGGGACGCCATCAGTGTAACTCATGAGAGAACTGCGTGCCTAGCAGCTGGGCTGGCTGCAATCCCGTCTGCCTCTCCTAAGGGGTGCTGTGGGCAGCTGGGGCTTTGACTCACAGAGTGAGGTCAGAGAACTCCTGTCCCAAGCCATCTGTCTGAGGAAGTCTTCAGGAACAGTGTTGGACTCCAAGAAGCAGCAGAGTAGAACTAGAGGTAACCAGGGACTCTGCTTTTCATGGAAGGTGAGGACAGATGTCTGGCAGTGAACCGCAGGGAAGCCTTCTACCCCTAAAGCAAGGCCTCCCTCACTGGGCACGCTGACCCCCCACTGATGTGCTGTCCCAGGACACCCGATGGCTAACTTCTCTGAGCAGACACCCAGCCTTCCTTGCCAAGGAAGAGGTTAGATGGGGAATCTACTCGGATTATAGAGAAACTGGCACAAGCTACCTATAATAATAAGCCTTATCTTTCATTCATCTATATGAAACAACAACCAGAAAACACCAGAAATTTTCGGAAAAGATTGTGCAAGTATATAAACAAAGAGGACAACTGAGCCAAGAAGAAATAGAGCTACTTCAGGAAACCACTGGAAAGAATGTTGCATTTATAAAACAGGAACTGGTTGTCATGAAAAAATGAGAAAAATCTGAAGCAAATATAGAATTCATGAGGATTAAAATATTATTGCTAAAATCAAAATATAAATGGAAAGACACAGAAAATTTGAGGCAATATTAGTGATCTAAAATTGAGTTGAACAAACCTAATGATAAAAGAAATGAAAATACAAAAAAACAAACAAACAAACAGGGAAATATACTTTAAGCAGCATGGAAATGACATATGGAAAGCCCAACATCCTTTCAAGAAGCACTTCAGAGGAATACAGTGAATATGCTAATAAGAAAATAGAGAGAAATGTAATAAAAATTCCCTAAGGGGAAGAGATCCCT